GATTTTGAAAAAAGAAAAAAGTTGAAAATTTATATTTTTAACGAAAAAAAATCCATATTGATGAAATGATATCGGTTTTTTCCAGTATCTCGAATATAGACATTTTTTAAGTTGTGATTTTTGGCTCCCTTTCTCTAAATTGATGTTTATTTTGCACTCTTTTGCATAAAAATGTTAATTTACAAAATATTATCCATAAATAGTGACAAATACATGCTACAATTAAATTATTAATAAAAATAAAAATTTTGAAAAATTATTAACAATAACTAAATAAACAATGTTCTAGTCTATTCGACATATAAAATGAGGTGAAAAAAATCGGAAATTTGCATTTCAGTTCACTTTATTTCTAGATTATATGATATAAATTCAGCCACACTTTTGCCCACACTAAAGTCACACTAGTGCGAATTGCACCGATCGGACTTTACAGACTCTCTAAATTGGCCGATAATAACAGGCTGGGGACTGAGGTCAGCTGTGGTACGGCTCGGCTGTTTCGTCTGTAGAAAGAATTATCATCGTGAGGGGAACTCTCGGCAGCTGCTAGGTACCTGAGAAATGCCGGCTGTTGCAAAAAACGGTGGTGTGAATTCGCACTAGTGTGACCTTTGAGGGTTAATATAGACTAAATGTCCAAGAAACGTTACACTAACTGTATGTAACAAAATTATCGCATTAAATAGACCGATGACCAAATAAAATTAAACGTTGAAGGTACCAAGGGTGTTATAGGACAACAATGGCCTCGGTCGATGTACTTACACAATACTGTCACCTTATGCATTGTTATCTATCATTACCGTAATAATTATAATACATGCGACAAATTAAAACGTAAGAGATTTAAAATTGCTACTTCTGATCTGTGTTTAAATATGCGTGCAATTAGGCCACGCAAATAAAATTTTTACTCGAAAAAAGTCCTATCCGCGATATTATTGTAAAATTGTCTAAAGGAACATAATACAAGACACCTCTCATCTCGTGATCAAAAACTTTTATTAGCTAACTTTTCTATTTAAACAAATAAGTGAGGAAAACGTTTTTTTCACTTTGCAGGGAAAACCATCAATAGGGATTAAAATTATCTACAAAATGAGACTTGTTAAATTATAATCGGTTAATAAACAAAAAAGTTATTGCAAAAAACAAGAAAGTGCCTATTTTTTAATTTGTTTATAACTATCGCATTTATTGTTAAAATTTTATTAAACCTATCACAAGTTGAGGGTTTTGTCATACTTTAAAAGTGTGCCGAAAGTGGGCGCTGTAGGTGCAATAGTTTTCGCACAATTCAATTTGTTTATAACGGAGGCTCCAAAAGTTATGAACTTTAAGCCTCTGTATAGGCGTTAATTTTCAACCTAACATGATTCTGAATGCGTCATTGTAATCTTAAAGACGTAATTAAGTGACCTATTAAAAAATATCACCGTTTTTGACATTAACATTCTCAAATTGTGCATTAAAAAACCTTGCGTTTTTCGCTTATAAACAATTTGAATAAAATTGTTGCTATTTATGCTACCTCACTGAAAATAGATTCAAGCTGACAAAAATACAATTTTTTTTTTAATAAAAAGCACCCTCTACGACCAACAGCCAAGATAAGATTTTTTTTTAAATCGTAGCGCAAGTTCAAATTGATGCGCGCTGTAAAATTTTGCAATATCTCCGCTTCTATTCATCGTAGAAACTTCTTTTTATGTTTAAACTGGGGTAGCTCGACGAAAAAATAACAATGGGCATATTTACGAATTCGTTGAATAGCCCTGAACTCCAGAAAAAATGCATCTTTCAAATTTTTTCTAATTTACAAAAATGTCTCAAAAATTATTGTTAAACGAAATATTAATTAAAATTTCAATTTCGGAATTATTTGATTTATTAAATAAATAAATGAACTATCGTTCATTTAAAAAGTTTTCGCTAATTTTCCTGGTGTAAATAGAAAACTGCTCCACTAATTGTAAGATAACTATTGTTGGTTTCAGAAGTGCAGCTAAAAATAAGTATTTATTTCGTTTAACTCCGTAGTTCTTGGAAATGAAACATTATTTATAATGTGTTCTTTGTGTTTATCTACGACTCGACGAAGTTTAATGCTTTTTCTCATATTTTTGAAATACCTGTTTGAAAAAAATACTTGTGAAGAAACGGTTTTAATAGTGAACATTTTTCTTATTAATAAATATCGCGCGCAGAATGCAGTTTTGACACCGCAGTAATTATTAACAGTCATTAATCATAAATTACTAATGTTAATTTAAACCGACCTTTAATCAGATGTTGCATGCACACCTAGAAGTATTGCATAGCCTTTTACAAACTTCGAAATAATTGCATCAAGTCACCGGGCGGCGGGCTCATCTTCCAAACGGGCTTTCGCAATATTTTGCAAGCCCTTCTCCGTGTCCGTTTTCACTCGTTCGTCGCGGCTCGGCCGTGTATATCGCGCGGCCGCGGTTCAAGGCCTCCTGTCTACCTTGGTTTGAGTCAATGACATGTGCGTGCACGGCTCTTTGCCCATAACACAATGCATATATCGTTCTTTCTCTGTACCCTGCCGCCGCGCCGTTGTCAAGGTGATGATGACGAAACGAGACCCCACCGCGTTTCGGTGCGCGCAATATGCGCAGAGCGACCCCTCGCGACATCTATGAGCTTCGAGATCAACTCAGGTTAGGGATCTTTAGATTTGGGTTTGTCTACGAGCTACATAGTGTCGGCATCTATTGTTGTTTCTCCGAGTTACTACGGTCGAACTTGAGGAGACTACAGAAAGCGTATTGTACATTCTGTTCGGTTGTCTTGCTGATAAAAACAACTCAGCGATGGCACGGGCTTTGCTGATGATCTTTTATCCTGAATTTTTTCCACATGCAGTTTGAATTTAATAAATTTGTATTTTATTCCATAACGATTAAAAGTGCATTTTTTCCAAACTAGTTTTATTATCCTATTGTTCGGTTTTTGCGTATCAATAATTGTTCAAAAACATTACGTAGGCGGTTTACCGCCCATGCGTCTATTGTTTTACGGAGAACTGTAGAGATTTGTTCGAATGGAAATGTAAACAGCCATTGTGTTTGGTGTTATTTTTATTGAGACAGTAAAACTTTATTTCTAATAATTTTTTATTTAAGTGGGGTAGATTGGTTTCAAGTAGTTATCGAAATTATTTCAAGACGTATTTTACGAATACTGTATTGGCAATGGTCATAATAATTCATTAACATTCCAGATGTGTTTTATAAATATGCATTCGTCTTAGTAACTTCCTGTTTAGTTACTTATTTTTGGATGCGTGGTTATTGTCTGTTTGTGAAGTGTGCAGATTTTCAACTTTGAATCTATTGATTGATTTATAAATTGTAGCCTTTTATTGAATTTATTATAAAATTTCTTAATTAGTAAACATTAAACAAAAACATTAAACATTAAAAAAATATATTAAATTATTATCTTTTTGAGTTGTTACGCTATTTAAGAGCACCATTCTCATTGAGAATTTTCGAAAATCTTTGGCGCATAACGAACAAAATGTGAGATAATAGATATTTTTCGGTGCTTCTATTTCTAAGACTTCCTATTTTTTGTTATATTTTCAAAAATGGGCCGACATAAAATAACCAAAAAGCTATTTTTTTTATTGTAACACATAAATATATGTCGGGAGACGCTTTATTTTGATGATACAGAGTAGTTATAGTCTTTCCGAAGTCAGTTGAACATGTATGAAAACGTCTAGCAATAAAATTTAATGAGTTTCATAGGCGCCCCTAAAGAAGTTTTCTGTTAAAGGTAAAAAATAGTAATAATTTGTATATAGGGTGTAGAAAATTTATATTGTATGTTCATTTGACCAAATTATTATTAGTTATTTTAATTATTTATGTCCTCAAACAGTTTTATTATATTGATGGTAAATTTTGGTTATGACATATCAAAAAACATTTACATTTTCATTAAAATATGCTCGGCAAGAACCAACGGGAAGGTATGAACATATCCTTGCCAGGAAAGGATGAGGAGAGATTAGGTTAAGGAAAGTTATTAAATAAAAATAATCAACAATAAAATAATTCCGTATTGCTGCACGGCACTGCTAGGCAATTTGTCAACAATTTAAATTTATGGCCAGTCGCCCAGTGCGGCTGTGTTTGTGCGCCGTTTGCCCCTCGTGTGCATTCTTCGACTGGATGTATACATTTCTACTACCTCCACGTTTAGTTCGACCAGACCTATATATGGGTATGGCTAAATAAATATGGGAACAAGTTTTTCAAATATTTCAATGCCGAGTTGCTGCGTAGCGACCAAGCCTAACTCTTTGGTCTTCAATTGAGATCGGAAAGACTATACTGTTTATTGAAAAAAGCTTTAGTATGAATCAATAAAAATATGGTTTTTGATGCATATCGATAAGACGCATCGATTTCGAAATAAAATGTCTGTTTTCGAAGTAATTTTTCAGTCACATTACTTACAAATATTTTTTATTTGGTTTTTCTCATTTGTATTTTTCTTATTTGAAATAAACTATAACATTTAATTAATTTAATTTTGAACACTCTATACCTTCCAGAGGTTTCCAGATATACAGGGTGTTTCAAAACATGTGTCGGAAAATGAAAGGTGTGATTCTGTAGCCCATTCTAAGAAAAAAGTTCTTGTTAACATGGGCCCGCAAACGCACCGGGCTATTTTTTTAAGAAAAAGAATTGTCGAACTTATATAATTTTTTTGTATATTTTCCACATATGAAAGCTTTCATTGTTTAGACGCATTTTTTTTACTTATTTACGAATTAGTCTTTTCTATTTCTTTTAACATTACCAGTATGTGTAGATTTAGAATAACCATTTAAACGTACCATTTTTAATAAGTTTTTTGGAAATCTTTTATCTGTTTGAATTGCGATTTATAAATGACCATATTTCCTTGTCGCTGAGTAATGCATACATTTTTATTAAAAACAGTTTCCTTTGCAGTCGGACGCCTGGCAGCAGGCAGCCCTCGCCAGCCGAGGAAGATCTCAACAAGAATGGCATGACTCTCGACCCGGGCACCCTGGTGCTCAAGCCTCAGGAGCAGCAGTTGCCGCCCCACCTGCACCACCTGCCACCCCATCATCTGGCGCCTCACCTGGGGGTCACCCTCGCCGAGTCGGTGAATCAGCAGTTCGAGCACTTCGCCGAGCAGCAGCAACAACAACAGCAGCCTTCGACGAACCCCTACGAGCAGCAGCAACACCAATACGCCCCGCCACCCCCTCAGCCACACCAGGTGGACAGCGCGGTGCTCCAGCAGCAGCAACACAATTTTGACGTACAGGTAGGTGAAATTCCTTCTTAAAATTTATATTTTATTTACTTAAACATGGTGTTTATGGAAAAAAGTGCGTTCCGAAACAAGGAAATGCTTTTTTAGTGGGGGTAAACGGACATAAGTAGTACTTGATTTAGCCGTCGTTATAAACGCTATAGAATAAGCGTACGCGCGGGGCGCTAATTCCGTTGCTATAATAAATTTATAAATTAAAAAAATACAACCAGGAAATTTTAAAACGTAGTAATAATTAAAATGGATTAATGTGCCGGTTATTAACGCCTTAATGTATGCGATGGCATCATTTTATAGAAAACACTTAATCAATTTAAAAACAAAATGTTGCTAAAATATTTTTGAAGTATTCTTGGTAAAAGCTCTAAAAATAACAGATGTTATGTTTTATTGTCTTTTTTTCAAGTTTTCTATATCTTGTTGCTTTCTAAACTGTTACGCCTATGGATAGATCCCCGCACGCTTTATCCTCCTTACTAGTCGTAGAACTAACGAGTTCCAAAATTTCGACCGCGAAGTAAAGTGGTGGAATTTGTTTCATTCAATTGGTTCAATACTAAACATACATTATACATAAGGTTGCTAATATTACGTAGTTTTTATTTATTTATATCGGAAAAGTCACTTTTAGGTCACTTATTTTATTTTCAAATATTTTTTGGTCACTTGATCACTTTCTGTATCAATATTTTGAATTGACCAAGTGGAGAATCGGTGTTAATAGAAATTATACAAATAATGACACAAATTTTCGTTTTGTGTGCAGTGGCACGTGCCGTATATTGCGTATACGGCCGGTATCGAGAGAAATCACATATTTGCATGTCCGATTTAGGAACGGATCGCGGTCGGCTCTGTTATAATTTTTTGATATTGCCGCAGGATAATTGCCGTTTTTTGCGAAGCGCCGCGAGTCTATTTACCTCTCTCGCCTTTAATCGATACGATTTTAATGCGCCGTGAAACAAGTGGAGTAGGTGCGCACCGATCGTTCTAGAAATAGGAACGTTTTTGTTTACTCCGATCGCATTTTGTTTCCGCTTGTGAGTGTACTTAAACTCGTAAAATTTCAAAAATAGGATGAGGACACGACGGTATAACTAACAAAACGTTTAAATACTCTTGGTACCAAGTAGGATTTTAGAATTCGGAATACTTTTACGATTTAATTATGGAACAGCAAAAACTTTTTTAAACTATATGGAAATCAGAGAGATTTATTTAACTCGTTTATAATTTTCTAGTGTAATTGTTTTTTGCGAAATATTTGAAACTTAATGTAATTATGACCTTGGAATTCCTAAGGATCTCGTCGTGACACGAAAAAAAAATGATGTTTCGTTTTTAGTCATTTTTAAATTCGTCTGGGAACACTCCTTTTTTGAATACCATGTATGTACAATCAAGAAAACAGCTTCGATAGTGCAGAGGCAAGCAGGAGATTTTTAAAAAAATGATGTTTAAAAATAATAGTAATAAATATTGCAATAATCCAATTAGTCGATATTTTGGCGAAGGCGCCAGGAAAATTGAACATCGACAATGATGTTCTCACTAGCATTTCAAATAAATTGTTTCGATTCGATTCTGTATTTCTCCTAGCCATTATAATTATTCTGCCAGGTATTTTGAACCACGTAAACTTTCAAAATCTATAACTAATTCCATGTTTAATCAATATGGAAAAAAACGAGGCCAAAAATTGTTTGGAAACTCGACAATCACATCTTGATTGTTTTTCCAGCTGTGAAAGTACAAGTATTTCCTACTATTTATACATTTGTCATATTTTCAAACAATTTGTGTAGATGTTTGACGCGACTGGTATCTGTCTCTATTTCTACTGCAATCATGTCATAGTTTACTGACTTGATGTCATTAAATTCGAGAATTTTAAAACTCCAAACAAAAAAATGTGAAAAAATCTACACTGCGGAATATAATTTATGTACAGAATAAAACTAATTAACAATTTGTGCCATACATTACCAAAAAAATGTAGTTATAATGTATTTCACTACACCATAATTTAATGAAATTTATTCATTTTCTATTTTACTAATAGCTGTTTTACATTGACAATTTATGAATCAATTAATTCATGAAGTCGCTTCATCAAGGAATTGGACAAGTGTAATGCACCAAATCTGCTGTCAAATAATTTCATGAATTTATTCATCAAGTTCTTGACGAATGAGAGCATGTTCTAATTTTCGTCAATTTCTTCGTGAAGTTCGGAAGTACCAACCCAACAGATTTCCAGCCTCAGATCAGTAATGAGGTTATGTTATTGGAATATGTAAATAATTGTGTGGCGTCGTACTAGTTTTGCATTGTTTTTACTGATTTGTTACTTACAAACACTAATATTTATAATATGTGTCAAAACGGTACCGCTGTTGTATCACTACAATTATGAGTGGAAAGGTGACATTTTTGAAATTTATTTGCTTTGATTCGTTGGTAGAATTGATTCATGCGTCAAAAAACTTAACAAAGTCTGTAGCAGTGTAAAACCACACTGTTTACCAATAAATTCGTGAATTAATTCATGAAGAACTTCGTCAATTTATTCATCAATAAATTGTCAATGTAAAACAGCTATAAGAGATGTAAGAGTTATATTAAAATGTCATAGATATTCTTTAAAAATTTTTTGCAGTTGGTAGCAAAAGCTACCTTATAGATATAGATATTAGGTATCATTAAAAATTAAAAAATGTAATTGTTTGCAAACCTTATCGATTTTCTCTTGGTGTGTATAAATGTCATATTACATTTATAAATTGTATTTAAACAGTGATCTAATCGAAAATGCAAAAGCAGCACCCATAAGTCTAGGGAAGAAAATAGATAGATGGTATTCAACTGAAAACACTATTGAAGATAATTACAACTTCAGATGTTTAGATATATTTGTTTTCATTAAAATGTTGCAATTTGTTAATCCAATTTTTCTAATTTGTTCTGCACAAAATTACAATCACGCACAAGAATTAGACATGTCTCTTAACAGACGTAAAAGCGATACAAATGTAAGAAAATTATTTCTATTTGTGGTACCTTAAATAAAAATACAAAATATGCGCTAAACGCAAATATTTTTTCAATATCCAAGGTGTTCTAGAAATTGGTAGATACGATTTAAGTAGTCATGGAACATCAAATAACGACTATTTTATCCATTCGACAAGCTATTTTTTTAATTTGCGTAGTATTGTTATAAGATTTTGAGGGTGCTACATTTGCCATTGTTGTTAGTTTTTGACCATGCCAGAGGTCGCTAGCTACTCTTTAAAATCGCTGAAAACGCATTGTTTTTGTGCTAGGCCTGTACCATAACATAATCAATCAGCTCCTATTTCTTAAAGTATAGGATATCTGGAAACAAACGGGCCATTTCTCAAGGGAATCTTCCTTGGATAAAAATAAATCTATACGAAATAATGAAATAATTCCCGTAACTTTTAATTGAATCAAGGAGCTTGATCTAAATCCGTTTATTTGAATTATGAAAGACCCTCGAGGTATGTCCCATTTGTTTCTGGACACCCTGTATGTTGAGAAACACGCAGCTGCAGAAGCTGGTGGACTTTGCCATAGTCATTTGCGTTTTTCTCAAAACTTCAGTAACTTTTATAAACATAATAGTTACCTCATAAAATGTCACTGAGGAAGATAGTAGCTAGTGACCAACAGTCCTCAATAGCAATAGCAAACATTTACCAGTACCAAATTTTAATGTAATGCATTATTTTTTTTTTGAAAACGTGGTTAAAACTTTAAAAATTCATCATCATTTGACGCTCGGTACCTTCAAAACCGTAGACTTTAAGGTATGGTGCACTGGTTCAGTGACAGAAAAGTTCGAAAACTTCGAGGAGTAATGAGAGTAAGAATTCAATTTTGTATTTGAAAGAGCCGGTAACTTAAAAAAAATGGTACTCTAAAGAATTGCTTAAAGGATGTAATGAAATTTGACCGAAAATAGAATCGTATGTATCCTTAAGCAGGGTTCGTAGCGGCCGGGAAAATCGGGAATACCGGGAAAAGTCCGGCAATTCGTTATTTTTCATGAAACACTTCAAAATATTCATGAAAGTCAGGCAATTTGATGTTTGCAACTGGAAATGTTGTGAAACCAGGCCCTGGTTTCTCGAAAGAGAAAACTATTTGTGGTTTTGAAACCTTTATAAGAGGTTCTTTGGGTATAAAAAAGATTATGGAGTCCAGTCGAGAAAAAGTTTAATGCATAAACACCAATTGGTATGCAAAAATTAACTACAAGTGACCTGGATTTTTTTTATGAGTCAGGGAAAACCTGGAAAAGTCAGGAAATTCCTTATTACTTTTGAGCTATGAACCCTGTTAAGGCCATTTTAGCCTTAGTTTTCTGGTTATTATACTTTGGTTTACATATTTCTGCTACTATGATTGAACACCGACGTCAAGAGATAAGCAACCCCCAACCTGGAAATTTTGCCGAATCCCCACTTTGTCGTAGGGTAAGGATCTTTCTTGCTTAAGTTTGTTTAGACAAGGGACCAACGGTTTTACATCCTTTCCGAGTCATGGTATGTCTTCCTATACAAATCTCGTCGAAATTTGCATAGTTTCTGTGAATGCACCAACATACAGGTCACTAAAAGGTGGACAAGCATCGCGAGCGTTCCTCGGATAGTCACCCATCTTACTAACCGTGATTAGTGCTGTTTGACATTTCATGTCAATGTCGCCAGGTCGCACTCGCCCTTTTAAAGCCATTTTCGCGGATCATCTAATGCGAAACCAAACTTTTAGTGTGACGTTCGTCTTTTAGCACCCATCATGGGCGTCTTTTTTTTAACATGAAACAATCCATATATTTTCATAGTATTGAATCCTCGACCTCATCCAAGTCCAATGATGTATGAGTATTACTTTTTTGCAATTTTTCAAACAAATAAGTTATCACTGTAATTTCTTGTATTGTTAGTACGTGAAAACTATTT